ATAGTCAAGGTCTCGCCTCACCTCCCACCACTCCCACTTCATCAAAAAGAAAAATGCTGATTGGATTTAGAGGCTGTTTGTGCAATGCAACTAAGTGCATATGCTTAATACACAAAATGTACTCGGATGAGATGAATGGGGAAATCAGGTCGTCAATGACCAAAGGAACTCACCTCCTCGCTAGTCCACCAGAAATAGTTCTGCTTCATGAGTGCATGGCCTCACATATATGGTCTACATTTAAATATTTAAAAGCAAGCACATTTCTCTTCCCCTCACTCACTGGAAAGGAGATGACAACTCAGGGCCAGGAGACATCCTGTATAATAACACCATGTTATAGATTGGTGGGTGGTGATTCAAAACAGTGCTCTAACGGGCAAGGGCTGGAATTAGCTAGCTGCAGAACATATTCTTCTTAATAAGAGGCAATGCAGCTTTCCTACAGTATCTACCATGAGGCAAGCCAGTTTATGAGTTAACCCTTTCGTGCTCCTGGGTACCTCTAGGGACCGAGTACTTTTCCAGCCTCTGGAGGTTTATTGCGAAGCTGCTGCACCGTTTGACAGAGCACGCTGCTGCGAGGCAGGGGCTTTTATGACTGTTTGAAACTGAAGAAATGGGCGTGTGCCACAGATTATTGTTTTTACCGGGTATTGTACAAGGTGTCTGAATTTTTGTAGGAAAAATAGAAATTTAGAAAAATTTTATTTGTTACACATATGTACCAATAGACCCCGGTGGGGACTCTAGGGTATAATTAGTGGTACTTCATATGGACCACTAAACACTTAGGGTAGGCTTGTAGGAGGGGGCAAGAAAAAAAAAAATCCATACTACCTACCAAAAATTCAGACACGCTCAATGATTCAGCATGCTTCCATTAATGAAAACACACGTTATCAACAAAAAATTCAAAGCCGAAAATACTTGGTTCATAAAAAGGATTAAAATGACTGAATCGGTTAAAAAGTGGTTAAGAAACAGGAAGAGGTGTAATACTCAAGCGTTCATCAGAATGGAGGGGGGTAGAGGGAGATGTGATGGTTTTTAAACACATTCATTAATGATTTGAGGAAGGAAGTGGAGTGCAAGTTTGTGTGTGATGCAATATTGTTCCAGTTACTAAACATTATGAAGAAATGAGAGGAACTCTAGATGAATTTAAAGCACAATGCAAGGGCAATAATGGGAGCGAGATGTAACAGCATTCTTGTGATTGTATTGTGAGTAAATTATACTAGTCTTTACAAAATATTATTTCACAAATATTTTACATTAACCAAACATTGACTCTGTGAAAGATCTCTGCAAAATCGGCCAGTATCAGTAATAGAATATTAACGTATTTAACTGCTTATTCAGAATTAGAGTAATTAGAAGTGAGTTGGAATGAAGAAGAAATGGAGTTTCTGGGTTTTAGCAAAACAGTATGATAATTCTGAAATCTACAACAAGACTGGGAGGAAAACAAAGTGGCGTGTCGCTTCAAGTAAAATTGTTTTCATACCTTTAGTAACAATTTAGTAACGGAGTTATGTGCTTGAGGTTAAGCCTGTGAAAAAAGAAGGGAAATTAGAAGAATCTGGTACAGGTACTGAAATTTTAAAGAAAGGCATGAACCTTTGAAAACTAGCTTTCATTTCATATGATAGGATGTTATTAAAATTGCCCATACCTATTTTAAGCATTTAGACAGGTGTGATAATGACTAACGAACACTAATCAGAATTTTCAAAAAGGAAAACTTCAAATCCACAGAGTAGAGGAAATATGTGAGCTAATACGATTCAACCCATTCATTCAAGAGAGTTTTTACAAAATGAATCTAGAAGGAGAGATAACACAAGTACAGTAACAGATACATGTAATACCAGGCAGAAAGTGATCAATGCCACAAAAGGTACAAATAAAAACTTCTGTCTATGAGAGAAAGAGATTGATAGATGAGGCAGCACCTTTCTAGGCAGAAGGAAGGCCACTTCTCACAGAGACTGGCTAGTGGGGCATGTGGCTCAGTACAGCCGGAGATACGAGAAGTGAGGTGGCATGGGTCCAGTCCCAACCCTGAACTCTCAACTGAGGGATATGACTTTATTCTTTACTCATTTCTAACACTGTTCACGACTTGTAGTATGCACTTACTTGCTGGCTGAAGGGATGAATGAAGCCATTGATGTTTTTTTGAGCAGGCAACTGACAAGCTCTAAATTTTACTTTAGGAAGATTAATGTAAGTAATGTGTAGGAGGGATGAGATGGATGGGAGCCCTGTTATACGGGTTTTTGGCCAAGAGCATGAAACGACAGTTACTGAGTTAATCCTACTATGTGCCTAGCATTCCACTGGATGCGTCACACAATGCTCTCAATGAGCGTTTAATCCTAATAACAACACTTTGAAGAAGTTAGAGTAAGAATAGCATTCTCATTTTACTGTTAAAGAAACAGGTTCAGAAAGGTTGAGTAACATGCCCAATGTCACACACAGAAAAAAGGGTAGAATCAGACTCTAACCCAAGTCTGTCTCCTAATTTTTTTTTTTTTGTAACATGTGGGTGCTCCTTAAATGAGGGTGATTCTAACAAGGGCAATGACAGGGAATGAAAAGAAAGGGAGAAGATAAGAGATTTCAGCAGAGTTAGAAGGATGTGCCAACTGAAATCTGTATGGGGGCAAGCGATAAGGAGTCAGAGTTTCTAGCCCCTCTGACAGAATATGGATATAAACTCAGATCTGGAAAAGAAGACAGAGAATTAAGTTTTGGGCTTATTGTTTGAAATGACAGCAAAACATCTACATAAGACAAGGCATGTTCACTTTCTCCCACACATGTTAAAAAATCACAATAGAGGGATAATAAGGGTCACCCACAATACATGTCGATAGTGGAAGCCTCTGTCCTCAAAGCTGACTTTCCAGCTTTTGCACAAGTGGTTTCTACTTCTTGGCACACTTCTGCCTCTCCCCCCCCGGTCTTCAGATCACTCTTCAGGTGCATTTTCCCAGGAAGGCCTTCCCCGACTCCCTAAGTCTGGATTAGGGCCCCTCCTTGGTGCCCTACACCTTGCGTTTCCCCATCTTAGTTCTCTCCCTGTGCCTCTGTTGTTATCTGTGTCTCCCGCTAAGCAGACTGAGCTGCTGGAGGGCTGGGGCTTTCTTCCGCTTGACTGCTGTGTATATCTGACCCTCAACAAACATTTGTTGACTGACTGATTCCTATTGTTGCCCTGGAAGGGAACTACCCTGCCCTATGAAGTCAGTCTCTTCCTTCTTAGAGGAGTGCAGTTAGCAACCTCAAGACCAGGAAATCATCTTCCTCATCACATACCAGGGTGTTATTCATGCAGTTTACTCATTGTAGAGTTCCCTTGAATAAAGCTAGCAATTAGTTGAAGTTTATACGCTTTCTAGCGTCAGTCAACTTTTTAACCAGCCCACTTATGGGGAGTGGGGTGGGGGGAGACTTTCTGTGCTCTTTCTGTTTCCGAAATATACAAGTGGTGATAGCCTTCAGAATTTCTCTATGGGAGACTCTCAGGAGCCGCGTTCATGTTGGAATTAGGGCCTATGGACCTTCTCCTGAATCCGTTTTTGTAGAGCAAATACAGTGTTCTTACTTAGAATAAGGGTGTGTGCGTGTGGTATGTGACTGTGGGGGCATGTGGATATTATTGGGGGAGTCCCTTTTTAATAAGGTAATTCTAAGGTCCACGCAACTGCCAACTTTCTATTTTCTTTCCACAGACAGTGCCTCTATTGGGAAGGGCCTGAATTTTCCTGAGCGTTAGATGTGGAGGTCGGCTGTGGTGGGAGGCCAATTTCCAGGAGGATCTGGAGATCTCGGGAGGTCGGTTTTTCTCCGTGTGGTTTCAAAGCCGCTCAGAACCACAACTTGGAGGGCTGCTAGGCCAGGGCCTGGGCTTTCATGGGGCAAGGAGGAGGCAAGGTTTGAGTCCCCGTAGCCTCCTAGACCGTCCCGGTAAAAGAGAGACCAGGGTGGGGGTGGGGGTGGGGGCGTGGCCTCTTAGGGGCGGGGCTTCTTCGAGGCGGGGCGAGGCAGGCCGCGGCCCGGGGGCGGGGCCGGGAGCGCGGCTCGCCCGGGTTTAGGCCGCCGCTGGGCTCCGCCTCGCCCGGCTACGCAGGCGGCGGGGCTGCGGCACGGGCCGGGCGGCACCATGGCGGCGGCGGTTGCTGCTGCTGCAGCTTCTTCCGAGGCGCCGGCGGCGACTGCGACGGCAAAGCCCGAGGCCGGAGACGAGGACAGTCGCGACGTCCGAGTGCTTCAGAGCCTGCGGGGCAAGATCTGTAAGCGGGGTTCGGAAAGAGGGAACCGCCCGGCGGCAGCGGACGCGGGGCTGAGGGGACGGCGGGCGTGCGGGGGTGGCTGCTCGGAGCCGCTCTGGGCTCGTGGGGCCGGGAGGGGGTTTGGGCGGGGGTCGTGGCCGGGAGAGGCATGCGAGGAGGGCCAGGCACGCGTGAGCCAGGAAGGGGGGTGTGTTAGGGGAGGCGTCGCCTTGACGGGGCGGCGTGGACTGGGGCTGCCCTTCTCCGGAGCTGGGGGAGGACTGCGAATTCGCCGAGGGCGCCTGGGGCTGCGTTGGCGTGAGGGGCTCGGCCGTGGGGCGCGGCCTGGCCGCTGGGAAGGCAGACCTGGGGTGCGGCCGGGGGCTCGGGCCGGGGGCGTGAGGAGCTTCCGGCCGCCCTCAGACGCAGGCCTCCGGGCACCGCGGTCGCTGGGGAGCGGCCCCGAGGTGCGAGCCGGGCGGTCATTATGGGGAGGGAGGGGAGGACCGGCAGGCGTGGCTGGCCCGAGGGAGGGGGCTGCCTGTTTCCTGGAGTCCCGAGGCAGTGGGAGGTTGAAAAAGGCACCCTGAGTTGGAGGAAACAGGCCGCCCTGGGACTCGAGTGCCTGCCACACGGGGTGTGCGCGAGTGAGGAGCGCCCGGGGAGGGGCTCGGGGCCGGACACCTGTACTCGCCCCACCTCGCTGCGGCGAGGACTTGCATTGAGAGACAGCGTGACTGACAGGGACTTCAGGCAGGATGTAGTGGCTTCCTGTGAGCAGGTCTCAAAACAGTCATCCAACCCTCACTTAACCCACTTAATTCCTTTCCTTCTCATGCATTTAATTGTTACTTTTGCAAGTGAGCCGTATTAGTTGACTAAATACAAAATTTTACTCAGAAGCTCTTAGCATTATAGACAGGCCTTTTAAGTTCAGCCATTTGGACATTAAAGAAAACTGATCTTTTGGTGTCTGTCAGTTGCCTTTTTTTTTTTTTTTTTAACAGTAGTTGGGTTTTCGCTATCTGTAAGCTATTATCGGTGAAACTTATTTTTAATTTTGTCAAAAGTTAGCTTTCTTTATTCAGTATCCTCAAATTGTAAATGTGCTTAATGTTTCTTGTAAACAACCCTTGGTAATGAGGGGAGATAGTTTTCACTTTGTATGGAGAAAATTGGATTGCATTAAAATGACTAACAATGTTCTTGTTTGCCTAGGGTGTAAAATTTTCCTCTCCTTGGAGAGTGATATTACTGAGTTTGGATTCTCCCACTTTCCACTTTTCAGGTTGCTTCCTTTTTCGAGTAGTTGGTATTTTATTAAACTCTGAAACAGATGTGTTAAATTTTGTCACCTTTTTATTCCCAGAATTAGTCCTGAGGCTCTAAAGAGATTATGATAATTAAAACCTGGAGAATGACACCAGAGAAGTAGATTCTTGTCTGTCTGTATCTAGGTTCCCAACATTGAAGTTACCATCCAGGCTATAAAATCTTTTCAGAATTCAGATTAAATTTGATATTTGATGTTTGCATATTTGAGAAAACTAGACATGAGCCAGAGTTCCCTTCTTGATCTAATTTTCCAGACTTCTACCACTTTACATTTTAGTGTCACTTGGTAACTGTCCATTGGAGCCTTGCTGATACATTGCTGCAGGTTATAACATGGAACTACATATACACACACATCTTGGAATTGAGAGTTAGGGTTGGGCAGTTTACAGAAGGATTTAGTTGCCCAGCATTTTGCACCTGCTCCATGGCGAAGACCACTGAGAACTGTTTTATAAGGAGATCATTGTAAATGAAACTTGGGTCTATAAACAAAAACCACAACTCTTTCTATGGCTGAGAACAGCCCCAACACCCACACTTGGAGAGTGATCATCCAGTTGCTGGGAATGATATTACTGCTGTAACTAACCATAGTGGAAGTATTACACCTGTTACCCAGTCAGCTCCTTGCTTTTTGAGTTCATCAGTTAATTGCCCAGGTCATGGAGTGTATGCTTCATAGGAAAAAAAAAAAATTAAGGGACTTTAATACAGAAGATAGTTGTATACTCCTCTCCCCCTCCTTTTAGCTGGTTTAACCCAGAGGTAGTTGACCTTCAGAAACTTGTGATGAGATGCTGTTTTCTGTTTCCAGGAAACTGACATGTGGGTTTTGTAGGGTAGCGGGTGGGGGGCTGGAAGAGTCATCAGCAGTGCTCAAGTCACAGAAATGGGATGATGGTGATTCTGACAATAAAGTTAATGAGCAGCTTGGAGATGGGGTTACCTGTGTCAGCTTTCCTACTCGCTACCCTGGGAAACCTTGAGGAAAGTCTGGTTGTGTCCCCTAGCCAGGAAATGTGCTGGCAGATTCCAAACTGCTGATTGAGAGCCTCTGATCTGGACAATTAGAGATCCATTGGACTCTAAAGTGAGCCTGAAACAAAACCTTCTTTTTCCTGGACTTGGATCAAAAAAACCAAACCTGTGGCCGTAGAGTCGATTATAGGATAGAGTAGAACTGCCCCATAGGGTTTCCAAGGCTGTAATCTTTAGGAAAGCAGATTTCCACATCTTTCTCCTGCAGAGCAGCTGGTAGGTTTGAACTGCTGACCTTTTGGTTTGCAGCTGAGTGCTTAACCACTGCGCCACCAGGGCTCCTTGGACTTGGATAGGACCCTTCAAATCCAAATCATTCTAATAAAAACTGAGGAAGGATTGATTATATATCTTTGAAGTTCTAGAGATAATAGCCCACACTCTTCTATAGGGTTTCATTCTAGTGTTTATTAATTTTCCCATACTCTTCACAAGATTTCCCATACCCTTCATGAGATTGACAGATTGAAAAAGACCATTTTGTGGCCAATTTCAAACAACCAGGTGACATTAGGAAATCCAGTGTTGATGACAGTATTTTGTCTTATATTCTGATCCCCAATTCCTTGAGGGCATTTTAGTGCCCTAGGAAACCATGGCAGTTCTGAATGGTCTACTTCCTTAAATGTATTCAAGAGGCATGTTTGGTTATTGGATACCTGCCTCTTTATCAAGGATGAGCCCTTGATAAAGGAAACTGGGGTATGTTCCAGACTTCATTCTTTGGTCTGAACTTCTTTACAGTGAGTAGCAGACACAGCACCTGAAGCACATTTGCATAGTTCCCCCCCACCCAAACAAAACAAAACAAAACCCTACACCCAAGCGAAGGAGGGCGACTTGGGCTTTCTCCTTTATACAGCTTCAGGTTTCAGGCTTCATGCTCTTATTTTGTGATCTCCTCCTTTTTGGTTGCTATTTTTTTTATTGTTGTTCAGTTAACTAGGAGTGTATGAATGTTGCTGGAGCAGAGAGGGCCCATGCCATCTTATGCATGAGCTTTCCAACTCAAGGGAAACGAGATTGATAAAGGGTCGAGTCTGAGGATTTGTATGAATTTTGAGATGTTTGGTACAGTGCAAGATCTGTAGGACCATGATGTGTCCCAGAACTCACTTGATCTCCCTGATGTCTTTAGACCAAGAGTGACCTAGGGCTATTTGACAAAGTACGGAGGAGCTGTAAGGTGTGGAGTCCCTGGGTGGTGCAAACAGTTCTTGTGCTCAGCTGCTACCTGAAAAGCTACAGGTTCTCATCCACACAGGGGTGCCTCATAAGAAAGATCTGGCAATCCTACTTCTGGAAAATCAGCCATTGAAAACTATGGAGCGCAGTTCTACTCTTACATGCATGGGGTTGCTATGAGTCAGGGTTGACTCGATGGCATCTGGCTTTGGTTTTTTATGGTTAAGCGCTTGAGCTTAGAGGCCTGGTCAGGTTAGTCACCTGTGTTTGAATTTCCACCAATTTCCAACTTTGTTAACCTCTGTGGACCTCTGTATTCTTATGCATAAAATGGAGATTAGTAAAAGCACCTATCTCATTGCTCTGGGGATTAAATAAGTACCCCTTGTGCCTCACTCCCTCAAAGGAGGTAGGTCAGACATAGACCATCTCTTAGGAAGGAATAGAGTAGGAGATAGAAACTAATCGTTATCTGATGTTCTTGTCCAACATGTACTGGCATTTCCTGGTGTACAAAGCTGATTAAAATCAGAAGACCTGTGTTTTGCTTCATACATTGTTAATTAGTAGTCATGTGGCTTTAGGTAGCTGATTTACCTTTGTGCCTATCTTCCTCATCTTCATAATGAGAATAATGCTTCATCATTAGCCATGTTACGTGTTCCTTCTGACTCGGAGTGTCTTTTTCCTCCCCCCCCCCTCATATTTCTGTCAGGGAATACCTACTTATCCTTCAGAAGACTGCTTCATGCTATCTCCTGCCCAAAACCTTTTTTGTGGTGCCTACAATCCCATCCCTGGCCAGAGGGTACTAGTTAGAAATCATAATTCCTTTTCTATTTCCTTATTATAGCACGTTTCATAGAAATAATTGATTGATTTCTCCAGTAGACTATGAACTCTCCTAGGGTAGAATTCATTCTTGTTCATTTTGTAAAACCGTCCCAGTGCCAGCACAATGCCTAGAACAGTGTAGGCCTTCAGAAAATGCCCTGGATACTAAATGTTAAAGTGTTTTGTAAATTATACGACTAAAAAATTATGGTGTTATTAAAAGAAAACTGCATGGTCTGTGTTTGGAAGTTGATCTCTTTGAAAATCGTAGGACCCTAGGAGACCCTTGGGTTTGAAGTGATGCCAGAGTTGATTCTAAATGCTCTGATTGCTTATTGCTGGGATATTTGAATGTTGCTACCTGACTGTGTTCTATAATTATTGTTACTAATTGTTCTTATAGCCTGGAAGAGAAAATCTTGTCATCAGACCTTAACAGTAAGTGTTTTTATTTGGCATCACAGGTTTGGATTTTTTGATAATAAAGTATAAATCAAAATGTTTTATTGACCACTCAGTAGAGTTGAGAGGGAGAGATTAAAAATGGTTTATTTGTGCTAAGAATTCATTACATTCAGAAATTTAAAATGAGATGATGAGTTATTAGGATGGAGGAAGAATCCATGTTTCAGATGGGTAGAAAACTGTGGAGAAAAAGGTTCTTCGTAAAAATCTGCTAATCATTTGCTCTGAGAAATACAGAAAGTAAACCTTAATGAGTTCATACTTTTTTTTTTTTTTTTAAACTTAGAACTCTTGACTGGAACTAATATAGCTGCATTAAAAGCATAGTCGTTTTTGTCCTTTAATCATAGATGCTAATCCTATTTCCTTGTTAATGTGCTTTACAAAATTATTTGATAATATCAGATTATGTATTTTTATCTACTAACGAAGTTCTGTGCTCTTTTGAGAGCTACTGACAAAGTTTTGTAATATAGTCATATATTAATGTAAATTAAGAAACTTTTTTGTAAATTAAGAAACTTTTATGACGCCTTTAGTTTTTTATGTCATTTTAGTCATCGAACCCTACCTGAAATGACATACCTTATAAAGTTATGCCAATATGCATACAATCATCAGTGAATTATAATTGACAAACTTGTAACTGTGGGCTTCGTTCTAACAATGCCATTAATGATAGAATGGCTTTTGGCAAATTCTTTAACCTTACAGAGCCTAACCAGTCGCTTTAAGAAAGTATATCACATACAAGGCAAGGTCATGGAAGCTCCCTAGATACGTCCAAACTCTCTGAGGGACTGAATTGCTGGCGGAGGGCTCTGGGGATCATGGTTTTGGGAAACATCTAGCTCAATTGGCATAACAGTTTATAAAGACAACGTTCTACATTCTACCTTGGTGAGTAGTGTCTGGGGTCTTAAAAGCCTGTGAGCAGCCATCTAAGATACTCCACTGGTCTCATCCCTTCCGGAACAAGGGATAATGAAGAGAACAGGATACAAGGAAAAGATTAGTCCAAAGGACTAATGGACCACAGCTACCAAGGCCTCCACCAGCCTGAGTCCAGTACAGCTAGATGGTGCCCGGCTACCACCACTGACTGCTCTGACCGGGATCACAACAGAGGGTTCTGGACAGAGCTGGCGAAGGATGTAGAACAAAATTCTAACACACACAAAAAAGACCAGATTTACTGGCCTGAAAGAGACTGGAGAAACCCCGAGAGTATGGCCCCCGGACACCGTTTTTTAGCTCAGTGGTGAAGTCACTTCCGAGGTTCACCGTTCAGCCGGGGATTGGACAGCCCCATAAAACAAAACGGGACTAATGAGGCACAGAAGTCCAGTGACAAGGACTAGAAGGCAGAAGGGGACAGGAAAGCTGGTGATAGGGAACCCAAGGTTGAGTAAGGACAGTGTTGACATGTAGTGGGGTTGTTAACCATTGTCATAGGCAACATGTGCACTAACTGTTTAATGAGAAACTACTTTGTTCTGTAAATCTTTACCTGAAGTACAATAAAAAATAAAGTATATCACGTACTTTTTATTTTAATACTTAAACATATATATAGTACAGTGTTGCATGAGATCCACTCTTTTAAACATATGTATCTAATATTTTTTCCTGTGATTTTTCGTGTGACTATTAATTAGTTTATTCAACAGAACGTACTACATAGTTGAGTGTCTGTTGGGTCATTAGCCCACCACACTGTAAGTTGGTCCTAAGCTGTGCATGGGACAAAGAAGATCCTTACTGGTTTATCTCTAAGTTTATACTTAGACTTAATATAAGATATAAGCAATCATTGCTTTTAGACACCTCTGTTCTTAGAAGATTATAGAAGTTTAGAACTGGAAGGAAGAGAACATTACCTCATTTTACAAGTGAAGAAATTGATAGAGATACCAAGGGTCACACAGTGGCCTGTTGTGCACTAGTTCACTGTTACCTAAGTTCTTTCTAGAATGCTAAACCAAACCTGTTGCTGTCGAGTCGATTGCGACTCATGACAACCCCATGTGTTATAGAGTAGAACTACTCCACAGGCTTTTCTTGGCTGTCGTCTTTATAGATGCAGATCATCAGACCTTTCTTCTGTGGCATTGCTGGGTTAGTTCAAACCACCAACCTTTAGGTTAGTAGTTGAGCACAAACGGTTTGCACCATCCAGGGACCTAGTAGAATGCTGCATGGGATTAATTCACTGTTAGGAATGTTGCAGATGTACTACATTTAGTATATGGTGATTACACTGCCTATCAGTGGTATGTCCAGATGTGGTAATAGATTTTCAAGGTGCTTTCTACACACTCTCATCTCTTCCTTCTTGAGAACTTTGTAAAGTGGTTAGATCACTGATGACACTGGGGTTGTGACCTAGGTGGAGATTGAACCGGGATGTTTGCTTATTTGTGTCATGCTTTAACTCAGCTGTTTTCAGTTCTGTGGGCCCATCTGCATGGTCACAGCAAATGCTCAACATTGGTTACCTCAGTGTAGACAAAGGGAGTTTGCTTGCCTTATCTATAAATGGTTTAATTTTCTACAGGGAGTTTTTTTATGTGTTAGTTGTGTTATAAAAATGGCTCTGTATAAATAGATTTGATATTAGTCTAAAGCTGCAAGAGTCTCTTCACTGTACTTCTAAGGACTCTCCTGTCTGCAAAAATAAGGGTAACTAAATGTTAGGTTTTGTAATTTGAGCGCACATAGAAGTAAACTTTTCTGTCAGGTTTTTTGGTTAACCTTTTATTTTGATACAGTTTCAAACCTAGAGGGAAATTGCAAGAATAAGTTGGTAAATTCCCATATATTTTGCCTGATTTCACCAGCTGTTTATGCTCAGAAAGTTGACTTTTAAAAATTTCAGAGCTTCATTTCAGAAGAGTGTGGTAAAAAAAGTTCTGAATGATTTTGGTCCTTTAAAATATTATATAATTTGTGTGAGTGATGCAGAATCTCTTAATTTTCTATTTGGACAGTTTTATACAAAGTCTTCTTGCTTGATAGAGGGGAACGAACTAACATTTATTCAGTTTTTACTCTTTTTTGAGTAAAAATTGCCTGTCAGATGGTACATTGGAAGGAATTGATGAGTACGTTTCTGTTGTCAAGCAGGTGATAATTACCCCTACATTGGCTATGGTCTAATCTAAGGGATAGTCAATAAAAATAGAATGTTTAAATACTATAAAAACTTATTTTTAGTACTTTTTTGGGGTTCACAAAAGTATTACTCTTCTCTCTGCTCCTGTGAGTTTGTCTGTGCTTGTGAGTGGTTCTAGAAAGCACACACATGCTCGCACACATGCTTGCGAGCTTGGCTTCTTTAAAAAAAAAAAAAAATTTTTTTAAGCACTAGATCAAAATGAGTCTGATTTTGGCTCCCTGGATGCAGTTACCAGAAATAGCAGCAATCTCTCTCATATGGCCTGTCCCATGTAGCCTCAGGTTCTTCCAACATCTGGCTTTGGGCCTTTTGTTTGCTTGCCATACCAGGCTCTCATGGTCAGCTTAGGAGCTCTGCTAAGCTTCATGAAGCTTGTAGGAACCCTTTGCTTAATCCAGGAGAGATTCCAACCATATGTTTAGAGTTCGGTTTGCTATTTGAGAAGGGGGCTGAAGGGAGCTTAGGGACCTGAAGACGTTCAAAACTGAAACCGAAAGTGGGCAAGGCAAACCACAGGAAGATTCTGCTCACCACTTGGTGACGTATTTCTATAACCCATGGATGTTTCCTGACAGTACCTTGCGAAACTTGCCTTTTCATGTACAGTAGTTTCCTAACTTCTTGTTCTAGATTGAGCTTCAGTGAGAGGTGATTAATATGATAGCAATATAGATAACTAAATGATAGTTATTATGCACATGTCTTGTGTAAAGCAACTGGCCCCTAATTATGTCCTATAGACTTTTTCCAGAGAGGAGTTGCTGCTTATCTAGTAGGCATTTTTGAGGAGTTGCTGTGGATTTCATGCCTTAATCTTAATTTTATGCCTTGGCAAGAACTGTACGTATATATAGTTCAGACTTTATATAGCCACAAAGAACACTTCTTTGCTCACTGACTCTAGGCTTACCTCCTAAACTATGCTGGAGTCCTGGGCCCTCTCAAGTGCTTGTTTTTAGGTACCCTTGATGATTGCACAATATTTTATTTATATGATCAAGTTGGAGTGCAGTGTTAGTGAAATTTAATTATTCCCTATTTCCTTAACCTCCAGGTCCCAGATGAACATCACAGTGCCTTGTTCTTAGGCAGAACTAGATTTCCGATAGGAAATATTTAATGTGCTGATTTTTTAAGATTACAAGTTGAATAGGATTATAGAGGCTCAGATTGTATTTTTTAATGATAATCTATCATTTACCAAGAGTGAGAAAAATTGCTTTAAAATCCAGTTATCTGACATGTTAATTTATGCATTGGAAAACCCTACTTACTAGTAGATATTTCAGTGGCCATCATATGCCTGTTGGTACCATATTTCATTCTCTGGCCTGAATAGAATCACAAACCTACAGCTTTGCAGTGGTATTTTCAAGCTGAAAACCAAGGAGGGAAATAACACCTACATAACTTCTTTCTCTTCAGTAGTTCTTAACCTTTTTCTCCCCCCACTATACACCTGCGGCAAGCTGACCTTCTGAAAGGGGAGAATGTTAGAGTCTTTGGAAGGTCATATGTGATTAAGGCAGCTCTTCTCCTTTCTCCATAGAGAAGGATCGGTATAGATAAACAAGAAAAACTCTTTATCTTGTGCTAGTATTTCCTTATATATTATACAGCATGATTATTACAGTAGGTATATAGAAATTGATCCTAAATGGAATGATAATCTGACATCCTGAGCGCAAGGTTTTCTGCCACTTTCTAGTATTCACTTAACCTCAGCTTCCTCTTCTGTAAATTAGGAATAATTTTTCCAGTTTTATAGGTTAGTTGTGAACAGATTGAATGACCT